TTGACTTATTCTTTTGCTCTTCTCCAAGCAGATATTCTTTGAGTTTTGCATCATCACATAGACACTGGATAAGTCTTCAGTGAGTTGGTTGCATTTGCCTGTTGTTTCCAACAGTTGGCTGTCCTTCTCTTGATTGCATAGCCTCAAATTTTGTAATTCAATCTAAGAAAGGATAGGATAGGATAAGATAAGATAGTAACATTTAATGTAGTAAAAAGAAATAGAAGTTTGCAAAGGAATAAGGCCTAACTAACAGTGGCTCTTTGCAACTCTGCTTCCAGATCATTTCTTGTTTGAGAGGCTTGTTGAAGCATGGACTCCATATCCTTGCTAGTATTCCTCGTTTTAGCCATCAAACATCTCACATCCTCGTCAAGTTTTCTGATGTAGGAATCGTTTTCATTTTTCTCTTTGACGTGTTTCTCAATTTCAGATTTGAGACCACTGTTTTGACTAACAACATCCTTCATTTCTTTTTCATGCTGCTCACTCATTTGTCTTTGCTGTTTGACTAAAGCAATCGTTGATTATAGTTTCGTAAGTCAAGTTACTGAGACTGTCATTGCGTTGTGTGCTTCCGTCCAATTTAATCTTCAGTTTGTGGAAATCTTCGAACGTACTCTTTAATAGCACTTCAAGTGACTTTTGCACAGTAGCAGTTTTGAAGCAAGTTTGCATGGCTAAAAGATAAGTGAGTAATTTTTAATGCCCATTTAGTCGGTTTCAAGTGAATCATTCACTTACTTGATGAACATGTAGACCGAACTAACTCAATCTGCGTCCTGATTACCTCACATAAGTCTCTCGTCCCGTTTATCCTATAAGCTTAAAGATAAATTGCACTATTCGTGACGTTACTTTTCCTCAGTCGCATCTCGTTTTTCAATCTCATCCTTCAACTTGAGACTGGCATTTTCTGTTTGCATTTGCAGTTCGAGATTGGATTTTCGCAAGTTGGCCACCAGGTTATTGGCATCATTGAGCTTTTCTTCCTAAAATGAATATATCTGACTGAAAATAAATTGTGTCGGCTAACATTTTGGTTCAGTTTGTTTACTATATCATTCTTCCAGCTCTCCAGTTTAACCGCTTCGTTTTTCAGCTTCATATGCAAAAAGTCCAACCTAAAACACAAAATGAATAAGTACAAGAATAAAAGCGTCTACTACTTAAGAACATCGGCTGTAAGAATTACTCACTTATCTGATCGATTAGGTAAATTCGTGTCCTCTTGATCGCCTTGTTGTGTGCTGGTTTCGTGTCCAATTAAAGCTTCAGTTCCTCTGCTCTTGTCACTACCAGGTCGATAAAGACAGACAGAGTCCTCATCATTATCTTTTTCAGCAATATGATCAGTGGTATCAGTGGAGATGTCTAAACTTATGTCAGACTCATTGAAGATATCTCTCTTTTTATTACAATCTAAATCAATTGACGCCAATTCTGGAGAGGTACTTTTGTCCGGATACAATTTTGGCTCTTGCATTTCATCAAGTCCATCTCCTAATGTGCTCGAAGGTGACTTAAGAGCAGGTGATTTGCCAAACTTCGTAGCATATCGAAATCCCAGTGATGGGGAATTTTGAGGTTTTGTTTGCAAACGTGACAAGGAAGGCGACTTAACTTTTGCTTCATTCATTCGAGTCTGTCTAGCATTTGATGCTTCTGTGAACATAAAGTTAGCTTTCCATCTGCTGGCATTTGTAGCAGGTCCGTTCGTTGGTGCTGATTTTTCAGTTGGAACCGAGAAGTTGGAACTCGGTTTATTCGAACTTGGTGAAAAGAGGTTCGAACGAGAATAGAAGAAATCCGCTGATTCATCAAGATCACTTGAGCTATTCAAGTCGCAGATAGTGTCCCACATCACTGTAGAAGTCGGTCCCAACGTTTTAGGACTTGCACGATTGGCAGCACTCTTTTGAACTTGATTGTCACCATTGGAAGAGGTAGTTTTTTTAAAAAGACTGGCACCAAAGAATTTTGACATTCTATCTAAAGTAATGAATAAAATATTTTGCCAATTTTCAAAAAAAAGCAAATTGTTGAAGATAGGGCTACTCAATAAATAGACCAAATCAATAGAATAATTTCAGAGTTACAAAAAATGACAAATAAATGACAAAATTTACTTTAATATGAAAATAATTTCATTAAGAATAGCAAGAAAAACAGTTTGGGTGATTAAAGAAATGAAAAAAAATATAATGCAAGCATTTAGTCATTTAGCATATACGAAGGGTTAATCAGTTTTACGGTGCTAGTAAAAGTGAAATAAATCTCAAAGTTGGGGGTTTATAATGTTCAAATTAGTTATTAAATCACCGCATAAAAGTTTTACCCAGATCTTACGAAATCAATGCCAATGAACCAGTTATCGTGTTTGTTCAGACTAACAAATTATGCAATTCGCTGTTCTCAATATCATGTAAATTGTTAGCCAAGGTTAACCTTGTTTATATAGCTTGTAGAAGTTCTTTTAAAACTTATATCATTTAAAAATTTTGATGAAGATTGGTCATGGCGATGTAATTTCTAAATGGCATGCATTAATGTAGTATGTGCTTATTTATGCTTCAAATTGATAAACTTAAGAGCTCCAACTTGGTTCTAATATCTTAGTAGAAAAATTATACCCTTTTCTTATGGACAATATTTGTCCCTAACTTTATACACTTATACAAGTTTATATTGCCTATCACAAATTCAATTTCCCATTATAAACATCAACATATGATATTCTACTCAGTTATTACCTAGTTAAATTTCGATTTATTGTGTGGCCATCTCTTTAATATCACCTGTTTTGATTTATTGAGTGTATGCTTTGAGCAAACTTTGCTAATAGACAAATACGAGTCCAATTTATTTTTACTTCACTTTACGAAATTAGTTAACTGTTTCCCATACTAAACTTATCTTCATTTTACTACCTTGTACTTGCTGCATCAATTGGCAATAGATAGGTATAATTCTGGCGTTTCATGGGGTTTTCTTCCATAAACTATTTCCATGTATCTTATATCTGGAATCTGTGACTGATTATATCTTCGAGTTCTTTCTAAATTTAGCTTTGCGATTGTATTTTGAAGAATAGCGATATCACCTAGTGAAAGTTCTAATATTAATTGCTCAAATAGAGTGAAGGCCTTTGAAGTATTTCATTGGTTTTAGCCAAATTAACTTCTATTTCTTCAGGATTTGTTGTAATATCTAAATTTGAAGACAATTTAATATTGAGTATGTAGACTAAAAGTTGTTTGCTCCCACCCAGTATTAAAAGTCGACTTGTTGCTCTCCAGTGTCTGCACACTTTCACTGCATGTGTATGAAATACGATGCCTATTCGCTTGTGGTGTACACGTTGTGGAATTACAACTGTTTATATGAATTCAGTTAAGAATTGCATCACTGTTATTGCACAGTCTCTAGGCCAAGTACTTCAGTGTCATTCTTTCTTTTCTTTAATTAGTTGTGCTTGAGCAGAAAACAAGAGTGCTACATAATCAACAGTCTCTGGAAGAGAAGAAACAATGAATATTACTGGTTTCCTGTATTGAATAATGCGTCCGAGTATTCTACTACATTTACTATTGTCATTTAGTGTGTTAAGTTTCACAAACTAATGATGTTGTCGATCTTAGTATAATTTCCTTCAATTTGAAATTGGGGCCCTGACAGAGGCAACTGGTCTT